TCGTGGTATAACGAAAAATTAAATGTATTTCGGTCATCTCGATGTAACGAAGTTTTTTTGCACAAAGCTCTCACGATGTGACGAATTTAACAATTTTGGAGCTTGATATTATGAATTCATAATTTATTGTTATTAATATATTAGATACACGTTTATACTGCGAAAAATATAAAATAAAAATAATTAGTTTGCTATTTTCCGACGATAATGAGATAAAATTCATTAAGGTAATGATGAAGAAGAATCATCCGAAGAGCTCTTTGTAATCTCAAAGGAAGCAAAATCAGATCTCTACCCAGAGTCCCGACTTAACTTCTTTTCAGATATATGATATCAATGACAGTATGTGTGTTTTTTTAAACATTTTAAATTTACAAAACGCTATTGACCGGATAAGCGCAAGCGAATATCCACTAACAAAAAAAATATTACTGATTTAAAAAAAAAATTAAATATGTACATAATATAATATACTACGTAATAAACAATAAATACTTATTACATAATGACTCGTATATATTCATTTTTATTATACTATACTTATCTAAATATGTATGAATTTATATTCAAATATATATTTATGTGTACTTGTATCAATATTGTTTAATAAAAATGAGTATGTATTTTGATTTAAATTTTAAATTTTTTTTTAAAATATTGTTTAAACGAGTTTTGTTGGTTTTTGATCTTGATACGACGAATTTCGATGTAACCAATTTTCCATGTACCCAACTTTTTCTTAGGTCCCTTAAAATTCGTTATATCGCGAGTTGACTGTATATGAGTGCTCTAAAATTTTACCAAGCTAAGGTACTGGGGGGGGGGGATCGTGTAGACGTTATAATGAGATTTGAATTATATGTTTAATGTATATATTACATTTTCAATGTAGGTAGGTAGGTATTTTATTTAAAATATAAGTAACTTAATCAAGTAGGAGAGAAAAGTAAGCACAGTTTATAATATATTATTATATCAAAAAATATGGATTCAAATATTTAATTGCTATTCAACTGACTATTTTTTTAATATGATGTATATACCTAATATATATATGGTTTATACAATCTGGTTCATAGAATTAATTTTAAATTGACCAAATTTATCGCTCATATTATTTTCCAACATACACGAATAGAACAATTCGTTCAAGTTAAAAAATTATTTACTTAAGTATTTTACTGTTAGTGCTTAGATACACGTTAACGTTTACAGCAGGTACTCAGCTGTATCATTTGGTTTCATAATAATTTTTTATATTTAATGTTTTTGTGATACCTAATTTTCATTTATTTTTCAGTTTTGACAAAATATTTTGATTCTCTTTCAATTTTATTTTTGTATAAGTACACGAATATTAGGTATTGTTCAAAATATTGAGACCATAATACAAGTACTATGATGTGGCCAATTCGGGGAGTGATATTTTTTTCCAGAAGATTCTTCGTGTATAAAGATGCATTTTCAACTAAGATTTAAGGTGCGATTCCTAAATGGTCGTTTCACTGTTTTCGTTTCTTGACAAAATTGTTCAGGTAAACGTCTCCCCTAGAACCGGATGGCGGATCGTCATTATGTTTTTAATTAACCACTATCCACACTAGGAAATACTATTAAATTTAGTATGTAAGCTGATTATTACAGTGCACCTCCGATTATTATTATTATTATTATTATTATTATTATAATGTCGCCCACTCGGGACACCTTGGGTTTACTGGCCCTCTGATCGCAATTCCATATAAAGCTATACACGGCCATACCTGTTTCTTTCTTTTATTTTATGAACGTTTTGCGAAAACGACATGTTGTTCTAACTTTAAAAACCTTTCTCAGGGCCTCCGAAAACTGTAGGGTTCCTCTCTATATTATTATAGAATAATGCATATAATACATCTAGAAAACGACCATTCTATTGATAATATTATTTTTAGGTTCTCAGTCAAAAATATAACAGAACTTTTGTACAACGTTATTTAAATATTGACAATATCCGTGCACCTAGGTATATGTGGTTAATTTTCGATTTTTCCTAGAAATGTGTCACAACTCGTCAGTAAATAGTGTATTTAATATTTATATAAGTATTATAAGATATTAAACTCTATACAGGCCCGAACTGGTCCACCTGGACACCGGGAATTTTCCCTGGGCGCTCCATGCTCAATTGATAAATTAGCGCCCCCTCCCCTTTTTTATATCATCATAATATATATTTACTACCTATATAATATTAGAGTGTACCTACCTATTTTATAATATCATATGGGTGTTATATTATACAAATGTTATGTTTTGTAATTATCATACATAGGTATTATTTCTATCACGTTTATCTGCTTTATACTGTATGAAATTATAATTTTGGAAAATATATTGTTGGAGTACACAATTTGACGGTATTGTTGATATTTTTTATACACAGATTTTTACCACTGATCAATATTTTAAGGTTCAAACGCGTAAAAGGAGATGGCATATTTGTGCTTAACTTTCTGAGTGGATTTTCGGACTACTTATCGATTTTATCATAATATTGCGCCTGTACGTATATAATTCAAATATTAATAATAATATGAAGAATAATTAATATTATATTGATTGTTTTGTTTGACTAAAAAGGTCTTATACACTTGAATGGATGGAGAAACTGTAATTTACTCACGTATTTAAATTTATGTAAAGCCTTATGCTGTGGTGTCAATTTACGTATTTTCCACTCGTATAATATTTGCATCAATAGGGTGTAACCCTATAGGGAATAAAAGGTTAATTAATGCGGTAAATCCCATAAAATCGTGTTTACAAGTGTGGTAACATTAACGAAACACCTCATAAAAACGTTAATTAATATATAGTAACAAACTTTCTACTTTTTATTTTTCAATGATGCTTTAAATTTTAATTGATATTCTACAGTAACAATAATGTGAATTTTAAATAATCACCATAACATTTTTCTATCAAATTTACTATACATTTATACCTATACTTATAATTATGTATATTATAATATTACTGCCATCAAAATATATACATTTAAATTGTATTGATAATTGATTGTGTAGGTTATGTTGTTGTGTATATATGAGGAAACTTTTCTGATAAAACTAGATGAGTGTATTCTAGAAAATTAATCGATTAAGTTGTGTTTTGTTTACACAGACAAATCATTTTCGATGAGAAGAAATGAGTAATTACCTATATACGACTTGTGTGACAGTGGTGTAGAATATTGTCCGATGACTTTGAGATAGTGTGCGGTGTATAAACTAATCAGTACCTATACCTAGGTAAAGTCTGAGTAAGACTTGTCATTTTTAAAAAAGCCATTATTTCTTCTTTTGTTTTGTTTCATCGAAATGGACATACGTAAAATCTAAAATACTAAGTTTCCAATAGAGCTGACTCATCTGTTTGACGTGAAGGAAAAAAAACAAACTCGCGAATACACCCGCCAGCGGTTTCAGAGCTATTTACAAATCGAAGTACACTCACCGATGCCACAATCAATTATAAATACCAGTAATTATAATTATGTTTTGCTCGTGCGCACGCTTGTGGTGTATTTATGTATACAAGAGCCCCGAAGGGAAGAATATACGTAAAATATATAATATAATGCGCACACGATGTTATCTGCTGTACGTGGAAATTTCTATCAATCAGTACTTGGCCTGAGATAAACGTCCCTCGAGCTAATAACCGCCCATAACGATTGACTCTTAGACTTGAGTTGACAGTGTAACGGATTTTATGGTTAATATAGTCCTTAACGTTAACACAGTAATGCATAATATACTTTCCTATTACAAGAGGATATGCACTTCATATTTTTAACAAAATAATATTTCAATAGATTTTTAAATCTTGATTATTTTTTTATGTACTAGTAACATAATCATATTAGATTTATTTTCCGATATTAATCTATATAGGTATAGGTAATTTTATTAATAAACCAATGGTTTTCTGAGACATTCTGATAAAATATAATAATCATATTTACTATAAACGGTGAACTGTAAATGTGCACTGTGCAGTAGTATTATTTATTGTACATTAATTGTATGTGTAATTTGTAAAGGTACACAAACGTCACAAACACTCTAGGATGTATATAATATTCATATGGTTCGGTATAGATTTATCTTACTCGGAATTAGATTTAATATATGCAGGGGCTGGTTTTGGAAAAGTTTTTAAAATTTATTATTATTATCATTATTATTGTTATTTTTTATGAGCTTCTAACCAAAAGATATTATGTCTCAACATTTCATTGGGTACATAAACCTACATACAAAATCAGAATAAAATAAAAGTTAATTATAGTTGAATTTATTATATACGAATCGTTTAACCACAACGATTTCTCTGTTGACCCTTCACCCGTATGCAACTTGCAAGAAAAACAAGTCCGATATGGGTTATCACATGAGATTTCAGTTAGTTCTATGTTGTCTAAAATTGGTAAAAACAAAAAATCTACCAATTAATATACAAATATTTTTTTCAAATACATTTTTAAATAAAAGATGTATAGTTAAAAGTCCCTGCTATATAATGTTTCAAAATAGCTGCAATACCACGGACGATTAAGATTCGATCATCGATCGTTATTGTAGTAAACACCAATGATGATACATTCGCAATAAGAAAAGAAAATCCATATCGATTGATAATATTATGATGCACTATTGTTCGCTCTTCCATAGGTGTTTATAGTACCTATTATTAGTAAAAGATACTCTATCTTCCATACATTTTTACGTACCTATATTTAACTAAACTATTATTATGTCGCGGTCGCTGTGCAGTAACGGTGTATACGTATTGTCATATTTCGCGAGTTTATTCGTCGTCGTCGTCGTCGTCAATGTCACACGCAGATTTCAGGGTTCGGTACCGTAATAAATGAAGGGAGAGGGAGTGCCAGGGTTTGGAGGGATGTTAGCGATGGTCGTAAATGAGAATTATACCAAAGTGGTTGTACGTACCTGTTGCAACTGCGCCTCCACCGCTACCTCCACCACCACCGCCGCCGTTCAACCAATCGGCGAATAGCCAATCGTCTGTCACTGGGGTCGCGGTCGCGGTCGAATCCCTTCCGTCAACCGCCACAACCACCGACGCCGCTTCCGCCACCGATGACGATGCGGATGCAGCCGACACCGCCTGAAGTCTGTGCAGCGCTCCGCTGGTGACGGTAGCCGTGGCCACGGTCGGTGTTGGAGGCACAGGTGGGGACGGCAAGGGTCCGTCACCGTCCAACCCCCGCCGGCGCCTGTTCCGCAGGGACTTGCGTTCGCCTCCGCCGTCGCCGCCAACATTCTTTTTCATAGCCCGCGCAACTTCGCCGTCTCACGTCCGCGGTGACCACCATGGCCAGCGTCAGCTGCGTACGGCGACACCGCCGACCATCGGACACCCGCGTAACGTATATCGGACAGACCGCGCGTGTTATCGTCTAATGAGCAGCAGTGCATATATAAGTTGTGTAGTATGTTTACAACAATACTCCTATTTTGCGTATTAATTATACTATTATGACATCTCATACGGTGACGACGAGCACGCACCTCGCCGACCGACCCGATGGTGAACGTAAAAGAAAATTCATAAAACCGAAAACCAAATATTATCGACAAAAAAACCACGAGCGCGTGCGTGACCCGGCGTCTAGGTCTGCAGCAGTGAACGAGTGGGAGGGGGGTACTGCAAGAAGAAGATTCAATACACGCGCACGCACACACGCTCGCGCGCACACACACACACACACGCGCGCGCGTATGTATACGTCCTATGGACGACGACGGCACTGCAGTCCACGTGGAATACGCGACGGACGAGATGATATTATTATATTATGGTCGCTTTGCTCGAGTGCATGCGGACAACCGCAGCGGCGGTATAATGACAAATACGCGCGATATTAATATTATTACGTAGGTACAAATTTCATGTGCGCGCGCGTCCGCACCTGTTGGCGTTCTGGTCGCCGTTCGGATAGGGTGTGCGCGCCGAGGACTTTTTACGCGACGGCCGGTCCTCCGCGACGGCTGTGCGTGTGGCCGCCGACCGACCGGCCGGCCGTTGCCTATACGGCGCGACCGGTGAACGGTGCCGCCGCCGCTCAGAGCCGCCGCCGATGGTGTCCGTAGGCGGAAAACCCAAGGCAACAACTCCGTAAACGAAACGCGCAGCGGCTGTGTTTTTGGTCGGTCCGCGGGCGTACGGCACGCTGACGTCACGGCCGTGTAGTTCACCGACGAGCATGACGTCACGAGCGCCTCGATTTGAGCGCGCGAGTCTTGACGTGCCTCGCCGATGCAGCACGACGCAAAAGCACTGCAGTACATCGTACTCACTATAATGTAGTTTTTATATCGGATATTATTGAAACACGATGGGTTCTAGAGTCGGTGATAATATATATAGGTATAGAATGTCGCTGTCAACATGTCCGGTGATTTGAATGTCTAGCATTTTATATGGTTCCAAAGATTTAGTAGAATTGTAATGTCTGCAGGAGTATTAAAACCTGTATACAAATAGAATCCATGAAAATAAATGTATCGTTCTCTTGTGTTTTACATCTGTAAAAACTACTTTGATATACCCAGGTATGTAATATTATAAGCGGCTTGGTTGGAATCATCCTAGTTAGTCGTATTTTTCATAACAAATAATACCATTATTTGGGCGTCCACTTTAGAAAATGTAAGTACCTATACGTACAATAAAGCTATCAATCATCTGTTGGAATATCAGTCTTAAGGGTATAAAACGAGATTATAAGTATTATATATTTCTTTTGCAGAACGCCGGAACAGTTTAGTCAGATATTGAATGCTGTTTTAAATTTTTTTCTATAAATCAACGTTAAACGTGCATATCATTCAAGTCACAGGATAATTAACTATTATATGTAAAGATTATTTGATTTATTGTGCCTATAGCTAAATATATAATAATTTATGTTCCGTCTTAATAATATAACAAAAAAGTAAAACTAGGAGTCATTTTCCAACTACTATACTATTTTAACATTCAGCGTTAAATTTGTTTGAATATAGGTTATGAAATGCTTTAAGTAGAAGCCCTTTAATCTTTAAAATGATTAAAATCATTTGAAAATATGATTATTAAATAGGTATGGACGTATAGTTATTTTTCGCAGTATTCTATTTCATCTTTATGCATACCTCCTACCACCTAGCACCATAATATAATATTATTATTCTATAGTAGGTTTTCGGTAAGAACGAGTTCATTGCAAACATTTTTTTGATTATTTACAAAGTATTAAATATCGTTTATTAATTATTTTGATATTTTTATAATTTTTTTAGGATGGTACGCCCCTCATGTTTAATTTTAATTATGTTTTACTTATGTACAAACATTTTTCAAAATAAATTAGGGAGAAACACTAAAATTATTTCGACAATGGTAAACAATACATAAAAATATATGATGGCTAAGGGGTTACTATACTTACTATACGAACTTTTTTCTCTGTTCCCTTTCTTATACCAGCTGGCGGCTATGGATATCTTGCCGCCACTAAATAACCTCTTAAATGTTAAAAGAGATAATTAGAATAATAAAATAATAAAAATCACCACATGTGCTTGCTAAAACTACCAAAATAAATATAGTTTTAGCTATATTAACAAGTTTAATATTTTTTATACATTAGTTTTAAGAAATATGTAAAAAAAAAAAAACAACCAATATAACATTTTTATTAACATAGATGATAATAATGATAAGTAGATTATACAATGAGTGGGAAACGTGTACAAATAACTAATTATGCTATGGTCCATGAACGACTATATGAAACCGTTCAATTTTTTTAAGAAAAACAAACGTGACTGTTCATTTGAAAAATATGAACGTGAACGTATACAATATTTTCATTTTTTCGTGTATAGAATGTGGACGAATTTATTTTTTCGATGAACGTTTTGGTTTATCCTTTACAAAGGAGATATTAATGAGAATATATCTAAATTATTTTAATTTAATTAATGTTTTTTTTTTGTATACGTTGTATTCATTGGAATCAACTAATGTTCCCATTCATCAAAGTATGGACATACGCAACTACTGCCGCCACAAACCGCGATGCGTGAAATGTGGAGCTGAACACTACACTGATAATTGTACAAAAAAACTGGAGGAACCAGCAAAATGTGCTAACTGTGGCGGAAACCACACGGCCAATTATAAAGGTTGCCAAACCTTCAAAAAAATATTAAGCCGCATCAAATCCAAAACCAAAACAACAAAAAGAGATAATCTACACACTCAAACTCAGGCTGTACCACCTGCACCCCACAGAAGTGGGCATGATACGCTACGCTCAAACCCAAGAGAAAAACCCTCATATGCCGAAGCCACAGCAAATACACCACCATCCGATCAACTTCTCCAAATCGTCACAAGTTTCCTTAACGAGCTAAAATTAATACTAAACCCCCTCCTAGCTGCTCTTACATCCCTAATAAATAAATGTCCACTCCTCATCACTTCCACTCCTTAATTAACACACGTATCAAATTTACTGATCATCCATACCATATTCTAATTAAATTCTAAATTATGTGCTTTTATATTCAAATTACAACTGGAATTATTATTTTACATTATTATTATACTTTTTGGTTGTATTTGAAATAAGATGGAAACTATATACTATACAATTCCAAAAATGTCATATAGATAATATAGATACCATCTGCATATACACTGTAGATTCTATACAGTAATCCTTTTAGTTTTCAGTTTCTAATTTCTAATGATATAACCATAGGGATATAAGTATAATGCAATAATATTTTCAGAACACTTAAAAAAACCGTTTATTTTAAAATCAATAATATCATCCTTTTCGAGGTTCAAAACTAAAACATTAATCAATATAAATAGTACCTATAAGTTCTTAATTTCACACTATGATCAATTAACTGAAAACTTATATTCACTAGGTACTAAATAGACAGTGTAGGGGATAGTGTAACTGTATGATTACCACTGTAGGATTCTGGAAACTGTAACAACCTTATAAAAAAATAAAAAAATAAATATTTTAAGGTTGAACCATTACTATTTTAAAATAAAACACGTACTTACCTTTACCTACTTGATACTTCTAATAGATTTGAAATTTTTTTTTCATTTTTAATTCTTTAAGAAGATAATGGGTCCTACTACATTTCAAAATAAACGGTATTTCATTTTTCTTAACCTAGTAAGTACCTATTAAAAATAACTAATTAGTTAATATACACTATATGTATACAATATAATATTCGATGTACCTAGGTATACATGTACATTGTACATATGTATGTATGTTTGGTATGTATAAACATTGACATTTACAGATAAAATATATTGTATTCCACGCTATACAATAAAATTATAAATACGAGTAGGTAGATATTAAATGTATTTATATTTTACTAAATTTTAGAAAAAATAAATATTCACAAAATTGCTAGAGTAAAACTAGTAATAATTTGATTATCTATTGAACTAAATAGTATTTTAAGCTGTATAATATATAGGTAGATAATTAATATTTTACTCCAAAATACAATAAGTACTGAGATAACGAATGTCTTTCGCTTATAACTTGTATTTAGTTAAGATTTAGATAAACATTATGCTTCTACATTAAAGTATATTAAAATTAGGAATATAATTTCATATTGTCACCCAAAAAATGTTGTAAACAATTTCAATCAAATCGTATTCAAAATATTTGTTTTTCATTACATTCATATTTATAATAAAAACATCACACCACTTGAATACACGCCCATTTTATTTATTCAACATACGAAGGTTTTTATTTTTATAAATATTAACTTAAATTAGTTTAATAGGTTATATGTTAAAACTTTAAAAAAATATAATTTATAATACTTTTTAAAGTTAAACATTTTCTTTTTATAAAAATATGTTATTAACTTACTAGGACACACAATAAGGTAAATTATAATTATAATGACAATAGTCATAAATATCCTACAAGACTAAATTGTTCAATAGGTGGTACATAATACCAAATACAAAATCACAATCATTACTAGCAGCGTACAATGATATTTATACGTGAACCTTAAATACGGATTCTCGTCATCGCCAAGTTTTTAAATGTGGCGGCAAAACCTTCCCCTCAATATCTTAATTATTTAATTAGAGTCCCTACATAATCAGTCTCATGCTATAATGAAATTATGATGTAATTAATATGGCCAGCGCACATGAAACGAGGTCGGCTGCCGACTCAGCATGACTTCGGCCCATTCTCGGTCACTCCAAACTTTTGACTGCTATTTCGGAGGTACCGGACATTGGATGTGGCCACTATTTAAAAGTGTCCATTAGGGAAGCTACTTATTATAATTACATACAATATTGTATTGTAAATTAAAACTACATCAATTGAAAAAAATATGAAATTAAATAATGCATTAATTATAGAGGAATAACGATTATCAAGCAAATTCACGTATTATTACTATTATGTCATATTTAAGGACAAATCGTTTTGAATTACACTATTTTTGTATATACAAATTAAGTGTTGTGAGAGATTTTCGAAAAGTTGGCAAGTGAAAATGACATCGATAGGTTGTCGTGTTACATGCTAATAATGATTGTAGTAATGATTGAAATGTGCTACTCAAGTTGTACTTATTAAAACAGTGGCACCAGTGAAAGTTGAAACTCGAAAGTTTAGTTAAATATGTACGCTGTTACTTGTTATTGCGTTTATTTATTATTGAAACATTTAGAACAAACAATGATTTGTTGGGGGGGGGGGGTAGGGACAGAGAAAAGAAAATTATAACTTTATTCCGTTTAAAATATTACATCAATTATTTTTTACTTAAGGTTAAAATATGTCACTAAATTGATTAACTATATTAGACTATTAAAAATAACGAATATAATCTAACACAGCTAACAATATACTTTATATTTTTATACATTTGTAAAATATTTATGGGGCCTGGTGTGGCTCGGTAGTTGGCCTCAGTCATTACGTTCTGAGGTCAAGAGGTCAAGCATTATCATACGTATTAACAACTTATTGTTTATTATTCATAATACTGTAGCAGAAAAAATATTTTTAAAATTATTACTCAATAAAATTATTTATATTTACATTGCTAATCAATCATAAGTGTTTAAAATAACCTAACCAAGTTAGTTAACTTTATTTCAAAAAGATTATTAAAATAATAATGTATCAA